ATAATGGAGAGTGGCTTGTCCAGCTCCTCTGCCAGCTCCCTCAGTATCCTTGGGTGGATCCCATCTGGCCCCATGAACTACCATAACACAAAAAGGAAAAAACAGGATAGATGGCAAATGCCTATCCAAGCCCCTTCCATAAGTCAGCTGCACAAAGAACGCCCTCACTTTCATGTTTCATGATGTGACTGAGCCCATGGTTATTACACACAAAAATTAAGCAGAGGTGCAGTTATAGATGCCTGCATCTGAAATAACTTGTTATCCTTTTTTAAAAGAAGACATGAGAACTAATGCATATTTTTAAGAGGAGATCAAATCTTATTACTTTCCTTAGTAAAGGTATTGTATCCGACGTTCATAGAACCTCCACATTTTTCTTTACAGATATCCAGATGGACTGCTTTTCCACCATTCAAACCCATCCTAGGCAAATACCCATCTCACTACTTGTTTCATTCAAGTTATGCTGATATGCCTTTCATTGCCAACTTTTCCAGTCCTATTCAAACAGCCTTTCACCTTTTCAGCTGACCAATGGGGAAATTAGCAAAGGGAGGAGTAAAAGAGCCCTTTCTTGGCACTTAGCTCTTTCACACATCATTGAGGGACGATCTGAAAAAAAGTTATGCTACTTGGTGGCATTGATACAGACAAATTTCCCAGTACCATAAAAAAAATCATATAATGCCAAATAGTGCACTGTTCACACCATACATAAACTCTGCTAATTATGAAAATAATCACCAATATGTATACTACTGTTATCACCATAACAGCCTGTTAGTTTTACATTGTGACATGTTATAGGACTTATTCTACAAAATATATGTATTTGTGTGTAGAATTTGTCATGTCTGAAGGAAGACCCTGTCATAATACTTGTTTTGAAGCACAAAATCCAACCCAGCTCAAATAATTTTTTGTTCAGTACAAGAATAAAATGAAGCTCTTTCAGCATAGCCATCCTGTTGGCTATTAATTGTGTCCATGGCATTCTGGTTAGGAACAAAACAGTTGGTCAGACACCACAGTAATGCAAAAATGAGTTGCCTGAAAGAGTGATCACTTAGGAGAGAGCTAAGTCAACAGGCTTCACTGCTTTTGTTACTTTAACCAGTCTTCCAGTTCTCACATGAAATGAGCTCCTTAGCAGCACACCATTGTTCTCAAACTATTTCTGAGGATGATTCTGAAGTTAGTATGTAATGACCTTGACTCTGGAAATCTCCTTGTTACTTTTTCCACTACTACATCCTGGTTTGAAGAAAACAAACCAAGTGATGTAGTTCAATCTGTCCTCTTTCGTACATTCTGGCTTTGGAAGTCCTCTTTGTATAATTACAAGCAACTTTTAAAGTGCTCTTCAAATTAGGAATTAGCATCGATGCTATTTATGAAAATCCTTGCAGATATCTCCTTACAGCGTTCACATTGACTGAGCTGGAATAAGCTGCAAACTCACTAAGCTTGGGATGATTTCTGGCATTTGCCCACTTAAAAAAAATGCTGGAAAAGTTTTATATTTAATTTGGGCAAATGAGTTGGACTGAGTAATTTTCCTCTACTTAATAACTTTATCTGCACTTAGGGATTTTTCCTTGTTTTTGAAAGAATGAGACATGGACATCAAAAGAAAACAACTGTGAAACTGTGATTCACTGCATAATGATACTATCAGCCCACTGTCTGATTGCAATCAGAAGACTTGATTATGCTACACACTATTCTTGTGTTTACTATGCACAGAGAAGCATTTTATCATGAAGAAGAACACAATACTCTTATTCACCATGTTCTGCAAAGAAATATCTATGTGTATGGGATTCTATAGAGCTGTGCAGCACTCCCTGATGTAGTGTGAATATCAGAAATGGGCTGCTTTTGTGCACCTCAGATACTCTTCTGAGTCAAGAGCCTGTGCCTATTAATGTGGGACTAAACCTTGACTAACATGTCTAGGCAGCTTGTAGTACCCAGTGTAGCTCATTTAGAACTAAATCAGGTATCCCTGCTTATTGTGCACTGTACACATATACACATATATATGTATATACAAGTAATATTTATAAGTGTACATTATATGTATAGGCATATACTCAAAACACACAGATATTGAATTCCAGTATCAACTTCTCACAGTAATTCCCTTTATATGACAAAAAAACACTGTACTGAACTTTGTTCAGTTATAATGGAATGATGCACACTCTATCTTCCTCTTTTATTAAAGACAGATAGATATTCTCCTGTTTTGGGTCTACTCTGCAAGTACCCTCATAAGAAGTTTTCATAAAAAGAATTTGTACATTCTTCTAGTATTTTAAAAAGAAGTTGTGTGTTTACTGTTTCCTGCACATGAAGCATGCAATTATGACACAAAGTGAATAAGCATAATAGCCTCGTATCCTAGAATAACTATTATCATAGATTAGCTTTGCCAGAAAAGGGGCCAGAGTAAAAGAGAACAAAAATATTTATCTATATATCTTTCCACTTATATGTCTTAAGTTCTATGAAGATGTATTTTTTTAATTAGTACAGTTTTCTGAGGTTATATATAGCTTTGAAAGGGTTGTGTTAATTATTTGCCTTACAGCAGTGGGAACAGTTTGGTATATAACATATTCAATATTCCAAGAGAAACACTTCAGGAAATATATTTGACATGTTAATGTAGTAACATTGTTTAGCAGAGAATATATTTAAAAATCTAAGAGATGGGGGTTTAAGGTTTGGTTTGGCATTTTGGTTTTTTAAACACAGAAATGAAATAGAAGAAAAACATGCTCTTCTCACTTCTGCAGCAGCAGCCATTTCTCTCCTTTACCCTGAAAGTCTCAGAAAAGAATAAATAATTTACCCACAAAGCAGACATGCTTGAGCTGGCTCTGCCAATGCTCAGGCCAGGATGGAACTGTGGAGAAACTGGAGCAAAGCCCAATTGCACAGACAGTGCTGCATTGCATATGGGTGACATACTTGCTTCATCTCCACCAAATGAGGAATTCCCCTGCCCCTTACTGCATTTGGCTGTATGTATATCCCTTTCTCTACGTGCAAGCAAATTAAATGTAAAACAATATAGAAAGTACAATAGCTAGCTCATGTTTTTTTAAAGGAAAACTTACAGATCACTGTAGACAAGGCCATAAATCTGTGCTGTGCTGTGATGATAGATTCCTCTCAGGATAATTAAAAGCAGGATCACAACAAAAGCTGGAAGCCCCCAACTCAAAAGGAAGTAAAACAAATAGCGCTGCTCTGTGTGTTCATCATTCATCACCAGGACGTACCAGAAATTAACAGCCTGAAGAATAATGCAGAATATTAATCAGTAGACTTGGTGGATGATTAGCTATCCCAAAAAACAAATCACTCTGAAAGTCATAATACAGCATATTTCTGTCCCAGCATATGTGTATATATAAACATTTTTCAACATAAATATTTTGTTCTTATTTTCTTCTCCTAAGTAATCAAAAGAGACTGATTATAAAAGAAGTATGCTTATTTATATAACTGTTAGATTTGGAATTAGACTATCAGACAGGAAGGGACACCCTGTTTAGTAGAAAACACTATTTTTGCAGTGCAAAAATAGCTTTGTGTTGCAAAAGTAGCTTTCTTCTTGGATTTCCATACCATCACAGAAAAGATTGACATATAATATTGCTAAATCTGATCTGTATTGAATTTTTTTACACTGTTGCTCAGCTCTCTGCATCTTCTTGTAGGAAATGCACTAACCTCCTTAACAGTTCTGACTGTGGTCCAGTTCTGGGCGCACCAGTACAACAGAGACACAGAGCAAATCCAGCAAAGGGCCATGAAGATGACTAATAGACTGGAGCATCTCTCCTATGAGGAGAGGCTGAAAGCTGGGACTGTTCAGTCTGGAGAAGAGGAGGCTCAGGGGGATCTTATCCATGTGTATAGATACCTGATGGGAGGGAGTGATGAAGAGGGAGCCAGAATCTCATCAGCGGTGCCCTATGGTAGGACAACAGGCAATGGGCCCAAAGTAATATACATTAAATCCCATCTGAACACAAGAAAACATTTATTTTTTTTTACTGTGGAGGTGGCTGAACACTGGGCCAAGCTGTCCAGAGAGGCTGTGGAGTCTCTATCCTTAGAGATAATCAAAACCTAACCGAACATGATCCTGGGCAACCTGCCTTAGCTGATGCTGCTTGAGCCAGGATGTTGGACTAGACAGTCTCAAGATGCCCCTGCAACTTCAATGGTTCTATGATTCTGTGTAATATTTGTACAAGAGTTTGAGAAAAAAATGCAAATAAGTGAAGGTAAATTCACATGCATGTCTACAACAATCCATGTCTTCTTATGATCAACTCATCATCAAATGACATAACTAAGAATTTAAAAACATATATGAATCAAAATGAAGAAGTGGAATAGTTGAAATCTCTTGAAAGAACTCGTAGTATGAGAAGGAAACACATCAAGTAAAACAAAATACTTAGAGGTTTGCTTGGATCTTTGCATTTTCTTTAAGAGGTTAATAGTAGAAACACTTTCCTATGTGTTCATTATTGTTTATGCACATCTGTACGTTACTACTTTCTCATAAACACCTAAACTAACCATAATAAAAATATGTTTTGCAAAATTTTTCTTCACTTCCTCCACTTCAAACGTATTATACCAGCTACAGCTCGGCATGTTATATAATTACTTCTGACCTTTTATATGGGGTGAATGAGGGATTAATTTTGTCTTTATCTGTCTAGAGGACATCTAATTCAAACCTGTGCCTCTAGCCTGTCTTGACAGTCAATGGAGAGAGGACAGACATCTTCAGGCACTCATTGATCCTTACCCAATCATACTCATCTCTCTCCATTGTCTACACAGGGATTTGATACAATAATACTGATTCATATGCTTAATTTGCAACTGTCTATTGTTAGAATAGGTAAAATCCATATACACTGACAAGAAAATTGCAAAGTGATTATTTGTGTTTGAGAAATTTTGCAGATTCCCCTCAGCCAAGGGTTTGTCTACCAGTTTGTTCAGGAAGACTGATTTTTCACAGTCAAGTATTTAATTAGCGGTTTGTGGATTCCTTATGTGAGTCTCATCAGTTAATTATCATTACAGTTGTTTTTTTGTGATTTATATAGCATGAATATACAATACTTTCTATCATGAAACATAAAGAACATTTCGTATGCTAATAACTTGTTTTCAGAAAAATTATTAGCTTAGTAAGCATTTTAAATGCTCCCTTAGAGAATGACATTTTATAAATATGTCCAGTGTATGTAATTATATTAATTATATAGTAATTATTACGGCTTTTTTTAATTTTCATTTGGTGGTTGGTGCTATGTGAACAAAGGCAAAGATTGTTTTCCTTAAAAGAACACGGGAAAATCCTACCATATAATTGTAACTGTCCTGTGTAGGTTGAAAGAACACAGGAAAACTATTAATTACATTGTTGGGCATTCACAGGAAGAAAACATTAAACAAATGGAAATGGTATTTGGAAAAAAAATCCACAGTTTGTAGAAAGATTTGGTTGTTCTCTTATAATGTCCTTTTCTTTCTTAACTTTTACCTGGGATTGAAAACCCATTCAAGATTCTGTTTGTCACCTTATGCCAATAAACATTCTTCAAATTGTAGTTGAATCTTGCCCTTGTAGTTCTGACTAGGCTGTGCTTCATTGCAAGCATTTCCAGACAGCAAAATCCTTGAACTGATTTATGCCATTATGCTCAGGGATTGTTGGTTCTACTAATTCTGACAATCTGGTCAACATTGTTCTCAGTCATCCAGCTGAGATTGCTTTCGAAGAAATTGTACTTCATGTCCTTGCTCTGTGTTTGTTTAGCCATATTTACCTATCTCACCTCATTTATCACAGAAGAACACTTTAACACCAGTGCTGCTGCAAAGACAGAAGGGGGTTTGGATAGTTCACCATTTCCTGTGCAGTGACATTTCTATCTTGATAATTGTAAGTTCTTGTCCTCAACCCCTTTTGATGTTCCAAAACTTAACCAATGAAATACAAACAGTGCAGCTAATTTTAGCAAATCCTTTCCTGTTGCCATGCTGCAACAATAACCAGTTCTACAGAAGAATAAAATGCACAGTTCATTTCCCAGCAGCTCAGGTGGAAGAACAAATGTACAAGTTGTGATTGTTCTGACGTAGAATGCAAAACAATTATGAATTCAAATAACACTCTAATGAGACAATGCGAACTTCAGTGAAGCTTTTTTCTTTACAATGAGGCAATTAATTGAAATTACCTTCCCGAAACTGGGGTGTTTTTTTAAAATTATTTATTTATTTATTCTTTTATCTTTGGTGATAATCTGTGGATATCTCATAAACATTAGCTGCTAAATACTTTAAATAAAGTCTTTCCCAACTCAGTGGGAAAATGTCTATTTCCCTTCTTCCTTCTTTTTAGGAATGGCCACAGCTTTCATTTTCAGAATGATTGCATGCTTTCATTTAATTCCTTTTTCAAAGCTGTTAAACAGTCCATAAATCATTCTAAAAAATAAGCATTAAACTTATTGTAAGGTAAGTACTTGTCTTACAAATCTGCAATAAATTTATAGAAAATTTAAGGTGCCATTAAATCCACAAAGGAGGAAGAGTCAGGTATGGGCGACAGCAAGCTCACGACATTCACTCTGGTTTGCTTATTGAACTTTCATTTTTGTTGTTGATTTACTCCACCATAGCAATGGCTCAAAAAAAGTACAGACAGTCCACCTTTTCCCATAATTTTACTCTATGTCAGAATTGGCAATTAAGAACTACACAAGTTTAATTTTTTCCTCAAAAGAAAGCTTTTAACGTGTATTTGTAACTTTTTTTTTTTTTTTTTTTTTTTTGGAACAAGTTATAAAATGCTAAAAGAAGACAGTTATTTATCCTGATAAATGGTTGTCATACTACAGATTTGTCATGGGAAGAACAACAGAATACAGAAAGGCATCCTTAGTGTGTGTTCCTACGATAAAAGTGCAGACTGCATTTGAAAATACAGGCTTACGCTGTAGCAATGTACACTTGTATGAAGGAATATTTGTCACAATGAAGACTTCTGGATTTCAGACATTAGTATAAAGCAATTATTTCAGGGTACTGCAGTCAAGAAAGCTTCATCCTTAAAAAATTGGGTAATGTTATCAACGTTCTTCAACTTACAAAAATCTCCCTATAAAAGCCAAGAAACAAGACAATGCAATACAAAGGGACAGAAACAATCAGACAAGCAAGGATGACTTGATGTGGCCTTTGTTATGACTCTGAAAATAGACCAGGTGATCTCTGAGGTCCTTTCCATTCCTGTATTTCAGTCAATATGTGGGTAGTAGCTATGTGTGTAGTACAAATACCGGTATCAAATGTAAGCCTACAAATACAAGAAGCTAAAAATGGAAAAAGAATTAGAATACGAAACTATAGATTTCATCATTGGAAACACTATTAAAATATGACAAAATGCTAAGTATAATTATTACATTTAGCAATATGCAGAAGATGGAAAGATTGGGACAAAAAGGTAAAGAAATTGTCCTAGAGTCTAGAAAGTTAAGATCTTTGATCTGGACTACAGAATTGAATCTGTACACATCCAACTGTACTGTTAAATCTGTGTTTTCCTATAGACTTTTGTTGCCTGGAAATGTTGCTACACCACCTTTTGATCACTTAAAATCATCTGGATTTTCTGGATGTTTCAGTTCCACATATCTGCACATATCTGAACACTGCTTTCACTTCATTATCACATTCACCCTACTTCTGTATGCAGTGATCAAGACTGACACTAGCAGATGTGTATAAAATGAGTTAGTGATCAAGCATATGCACTATGCTATACAGCCTCACAGAGGGCAGAGTGACTGCATGAGTGATACAGAATCTGTTCGCATATTTTTGCTGTTTCCCAGACAGAAGTATTTAAGTCCCATTTAAGTATAAATACATTATTAATTCTGCCTTCCAAACCAAGTCATGTCTATTAAGTGTACCTTGCTGAGAAATACGAATGTTCATTTCCCAGGCATTTAAATCTGCCATTTAGACAGCAGAAGCATCTAGACTTCCCAAATCAGTCTGGTTTTCCCTTGGATCCACAAACTGCTAATATTTTCATGGGGACGAATTCAAGCATGGAGATGTCCCCAGCACTCCTTTAGTGCCCTGGCATTGCTTCCTCACTCTGCAATGAGAAATATAAATTCAGGATCTATTCTCAGTCAAGGGGAGTAAATGGTAGCTGAGGGCTGGGTTGATCTACGTTTCAGATAATTTCTTTCCTTTTGGGTCTTTCAAACTTCAGGAATTATTCACAGTTGAAGACCTGCACCTACAAAAAGGGGCAATCTCCTTCACTCTGAGTTTCACTCCTGGCAGCTCTTATCAGCTCATCACTCACCAGGCTACAAAGGATTCCCTCTTAAGCACCTTTGTCCCCTCAGATTTGCATGAAGATTTTTCATGACTAACACAAGCCTGAGGCTCCACTAAATGCAATAGGACATGCAAGTTCTTAGGACCTGGCCAAAGTCTACTCCAACAAAAGTAACAATGGATTTCAAGTACAGCCATAAAAATGACCAACTGTTAACAGCCATACAATTTTTTGTCATTATAAGTGACTAATCCTTGGAAGATCAAGCATTGGAAATGGGAATCCTGTTGCAACTTAATGTAATATAACACGTGTAGGATGGGAAGATGAAACACTATCAAACACTGAGCAGTCAAATGCTTAAAAGCATTACTTCGTCGGTCCAAAATAATAAATGTTCAAGAGATCTGAAGTGACTTAGGAATAAGTGAGCAGCTGTGAAGAAGAATATTATTTATGGCTCACAAAATAATTTAGGTTAGTCAACCTAAGTAAAAGTCATAAGTCAAGCTAGGTGAAGGAGAAGTACAGCAGAAAATAACATCCGCTGGAGAGAATATTTAATCTTGCTAACTGTATAAATTCAGGGAAAACAACAAGAATAAAAAGAGTATTAGTATCACTACAGACAGAGCAGTTTAGATCTCTCTGCTCCATTTTTGCGAGCAGCTGCAGCAGCAGTGTACATGACAGACCATCTACTTGTAGCTTGCTAAGACCAACAAGCACAGTAGAGCTGTTAGAGAGGCTGCTAGGGTTCTCAATGAAAGTGAGCCTGACATAATCCCAGCAAAGAGCCAGATACCACATGAATGTCACTGGGAGAGAAAGCTGTATTTAGATATAGCCTAATTTGCAATTCTTCATTTGGTCTGACAAACTGCATATTGGAGGATTTGTATTGTAATTTATGGAGCTGCATATATAAAGCTGTATGCTATAATAAATGTGCTATCAACAAATCCTATTAAAATAATAGCCAAATAAATGGCATAATTCATACTTTAGTGCTAAATATACATTTCTCGACGAGGGTACGATAATGTATTTTCCAAATAACCTCACAGCTTGTTATTTTGACTAACTTACAACTGGTAACTTTCCGTAACAAATTTGATTGATTGTTCATGGTCTCCCACATTATTTCAATTGCTTTTTACACCATTTACTGTTCTATAATGTGTCAAAAGAGCAACGAAGCTGGTGAAGGGTCTAGAGAACAAGTTCTATGAGGAGCAACTGAGGGAACTGGGGTTGTTTAGCCTGGAGAAAAGGAGGCTGAGGGGTGACCTTATTGCTCTCTACCTGAAAGGAGGGTGTAGCGAGGTGAGAGCCGGTCTCTTCTCCCAGGTAACAAGTGATAGGACAAGAGGAAACAGCCTCAAGTTGTGTCAGGGGAGGTTTAGGTTGGATATTAGGAAAAATTTCTTCACTGAAAGGGTTGTCAAGCATTGGAACGGGCTGCCCAGGGAAGTGGTTGAGTGCCCATCCCTGGAGGTATTTAAAAGAAGGGTAGATATGGTGCTTAAGGACATGGTTTAGTGGTGGACTTGGCAGTGACAAGTTAACAGTTGTACTCGATGATCTTAAAGGACATTCCCACCTAAACAATTCTATGATTCTATGAAAATTCTGGCAATATTTATGAATGAATACACTTCTTATTTTAATACAAACTTATGAAGGTATGTTTGTCTTGTTATACAAGTCTAATGACTAAAATGCTACTGACTTAAAAAAATACAGTGTAGTTTACACTTACATTTCACCTGTAAGAGACTGTTTCAAAAGACCAAATACAAGATGCTTAGAAAAGCTATTAACTCTAATAAAATAGTTCTTCAGTGTTTTAAGACAGTAGCTTCTATAGGATGAAGTGAGATGTGGAAATTCTTACACAGTTGTAATGTATATTAGTGGAAAAAGTCTTTATAGGGCTTGAATATTTACCCTTGGAGCTGTGACACCCTAGGTTTAATAAAGACCATGTAATGTTTTGCCTCTCTAGTAGCATTGAATTACAGAGATACATATACTATGATATAATAGAAACAGTCTAAGTATCAGTTACTTTTACAGAGGTTTTGGGGAAGGTACGAAAAAGACTGACCAACCTGAATAAGCATCCAGCTGAACTGGCAGAGGTAAAGGTAATGGGTAACAGATGCAAGGGCAGAGCAGCTTTCCTCTGAGAGATGTTGGCTGATGTATGCAGAGGCCAGAAATGATATCTGCAGGGAAAAAATGAATACATGCATATCCAAATTAAACAAAACTAATTTAATAAAAATAATGACAAAAAAAAATATCGTCAGTTTGGAAGTAAAATATACACTCAGTTACCATTCCAGAGACTCAGGAGAGATACCTTGGACATTTAATATTCATCCAAAAGCAGTTTTGGGAACTGCTTTTGGGAACACCCTTGGTGTTCCAACTTTGACTGCAGTGAATGCTGCTAAACAATTTCAATATAGCATTTAAAATTAAAACACAACTCAGAAACTTTTAGCTCTGTCTTCTGTGAATTTCTTGAAAGAGGAAATAGTTCTACAAGCAGACTGCAGTAAAGAATTAAAGTGTTCACATAAAGAAAGGCTCAATTTACCTACTAAACACCTGCAGTAACTGATGATTTTTCTTTTCCTTTACAAGGAATACTACTATTTTGACCAACAGCCCATTGACTTGTTAGTAATGGCAATTCATGGACTGTGCAGACTGATTTTATGTATATAAAATCAGGAGATGGGGTGGGTAAGGAAGTCAAATTATACCAAGTGATTTGGCATACACCTGGACATTGTATTTACAACAAAAATACATGTATGGTATTGGGTAAGTCTTATACAGTCTCTTTATTATAAAAATATCCTTATAAAAGCAGGGACTGTATATTGACAGATAGACAATGTTTTCTCACCATGAAATGGAAGAATAAGAATGAGCAACTGGACAACAACTGGACTAAAAGCAATTATGACATGAATTTCATTGGCCAAGAAGGTCAATAGAATCCAGGCTCATATCAGAAATAGTGTGGCCAGCAGGACTAGGGAAGTGATTGTCCCCCTGTACTCAGCACTGGTGAGGCAGCACCTCAAATACTGTGTTCAGTTTTGGGCCCCTCACTACAAGAAGGACATTGAGGTGCTGTAGAGTGTCCAAAGAACAGCAACGAAGCTGGTGAAGCATCTAGAGCACAAGTCTTATGAGGAGTGGCTGAGGGAACTGGGGTTGTTTAGTCTGGAGAAGAGGAGGCCGAGGGGCCCTGTACTGCTCTGTACAACTACCTGAAAGGAGGTTGTAGGGAGGTGGGGGTCAGTCTCTTGTTCCAAGTAACAAGTGATAGGACAAGGGGAAAGGGCTTCAAGTTGCATCAGGGGAGGTTTAGATTGGATATTAGGAAGAATTTTTTCACCAAAAGGGTTGTCAAGCACTGGAACGGGCTGCCTAGGGAAGTGGTTTAGTCCCCATCCCTGGAGGTATTTAAACGACATGTAGTCATGGCGCTTAAGGACATGGTTTAGTGGTGGACTTGGCAGTGCTACGTTAATGGTTGGACTTGATGGTCTGAAAACTCTTTTCCAACCTAAATGAATCTATGATTCTATGATTAGCTAAAGAAAAAGAAATGCACTTTTAGTATTTTATGTGGGGTTCATCAGTCTTCTGATGGGAACTGGAATCTAACCACGGCTATATAACCATTCAGTTATGAAGAAGTTAACACTCAGCTTAATATAGACTGTTATTTGTCAAATTCTGAAGCTGCTAAAACAAATGCCATTGTCTGGAGTGAGTTAAACACAATTGAAATATCTCTGCAATAGCTGCCTTCCATTATGGATAAACACAAGAAATGTTTGTGTAAACAACTCCGTAGCACCAGCTAGCTCAAACAGTACCAGCAGTACTTTTCCTAAAACTTGAGCAAATGCTTCTGCTTACAACAAGCAAAATACAACACGCATCTGGGTGGGGAGGCTTTACTACCTTTTGTTCTCTGAAGGCTTGTGTACATGTCAAAGACAGACTGTTAGGCTAGACAGATACAAAGAAGTGATGAAAACACAAAAGCAGACTGATCGAGTCCTGGAAACATATTTTTAGCATATTCTGGACTGAATGCTAGCTTGAAAGCATTTTGCATCTGTAATCAAAGAAATTGTCATTTTTAGCCTTTTCCTGTGTTTCAAGAAAAAAGAAAAATTGTATATTAAAAAAGAGAAGTATCTTGCTATATCAACAATTTTCCAACCAAAACAGTGCGAAGAGTCCAAATATTTGCTAAAAATGCATACCTTTCATGGATACTGACTTTTGTTGAAGAAGAAAAACAGCAATACAGCTGAAGTAATCACTCAGCTAAGAATTCATTGTAATTAGTAGCATCAGAGTGTTTTAGACAAAAAAGCTAAAAAGGTAAAAGAGGCAAAGAAACATTTACACATTATTCTTATATAATTGTTACCTTGCATCTTGGACAGAAAATACAAATGAGAATTGGATTATAACACAAAAAACAAACGGCACACCATATTTTTGAAATGTTGGAAGAAGAGACTGTAGTTTAGCTACAAACCTTTCCTCCATAATATCTGAGGCAGTTAGGAAAACATACAAAAAACGCACCTTCCAAATAAATTGCTTCTTAGATCTAAGTGCCTCATGTCTTCTGTACTTTGCTTAGTTAACTGTAGTGTGCAATTTTTTTTAGTAATGAACATATGACTTTAGTAAGCAAAATATGCACCATATATTGGAATAAGTTGTTTCCTCTTGGAACACTAAAAAGTATAATTTGGATGTGTTCCTTTTAATACCAATTGTTCAGAGCTCTTTTTACAGAGATCTTATGATTTTAAATAGCCCTTTTCAAACAATCTTTATAACCTGCCATTTGGTTCTATGCTGAGATTATAACATTTTGTTTCTTCCTGGTACTTGTCGAGGTGATCAGTCTTGACCCAAAATGATTTAACTAAGGGATAACTGGTGAGTTAAGTCACCCAAGTAGCAGGCTGCTACTTTTGTTAATTTGTGTGCGATAGCTCTGTGCCACATTCAAAATTACAGTGATAGTGTATCACTCCCAAGGTTCCTCTCAAACAAAATGAAAAAATTAAAGTTAAAAAATAAAAGGCGATAAATCGAAGCACTTTTGTTAAAGAGCAAAAAGATCTTTGACAGGGTTTCCATCTGACAGTCATTTACTCGGTTAATTAATCAAAGGATACTGCAATTCTTTTGTAACTCTAAGACAGTTACCTAGCAATAACTTGAAGGAAATTAGCACCTGGGTATTCAGTCTAAGTCATCAACACCAAACTATAAATGAATAAAACCAGGTGATTTACAAAACCGTACATTCCTGTAGGAAGAAGAGTATTTTTGCATGGCTGTTTCCAAGCAGTACGCTGTCTCAGAACATCACTCCTCTGCTAGTTAAAAGCTGCCTCCTAGTTTCCAGCCTGCAGTTATTCATGGTCAATTTATATCTATTTTTCCTTCTGTTGGAAGTCTCTCAGGTTAAACAGGATTTCCTCCTCCTTGGGGTTTGCACTATCATGAATTCACGGAAAGCAGTAGTAGTCTCCCTCAGGCTTCATTTTTCAAGGTTAAATAAGCCACCACTGCACAGTGCAGTACTCTGTAGAGATTCCTAAGCTGGGCTGGACAGCAAAAGCAGTTTAGCTCCTTGAATTCAGCATCTGCTTGGATCAATTTATCTTGTTTCTCCAAGTAATCCTATGTACTGCACTGTGAAGTGTATACTTACACATGTGAAAGTCTGTCCTTGTGCAAAAGACTTTGCAGCTTGCGTACCAATTTCATTGTCCTTCTCCATGCTGGTGCTGCTTCGATTCTGTCCTTCACAAAAAGACGTACTCAGGGTTGGATGGAGAAGAGCTGCAGAGGTCTCGCAAGATTCTCATCCAACAATTTTCTTATCTCCCAATATACCATGCAAACACTTCTGATATATGGTAATACCTCATCTGGTATACATAGTTTTTCTTCTCATTTCCAACTACCTCTTGCCACAGAGTAAAAGTTTTGCTGTTAGCCTACAAGTTACGAATTTTCACCTTATTCTAGGAAATACCCCTGTATTTCACACTTCAGTCTTCAAACATATTCACATCTTTCAGTGTGCTACCCCAATACCACTTCATAGTGTCAGTGCTTCTCTAACTTCTGCCATCAGCACATTTTGCCCTGGCATGTTATTTTCTGTTCCACAAACTAGTCCTTTAGGATCAATGAAATACCCCTCTTCATTTGCTACTGTCTCATAGCTGTCTTTCCCCATTAGTCTGTCTCTTCCCACATCCAAGTTCTTGGATTAATCCTCCTCCATTATTATTTTACTAATTATGTGACATATCATGTATTTTACTACATTTATCTCATCAAAGAAAACTATCAGACTAGTCTGGCATGATCTAAGTATAAACACACGGGAGTCTTATTCTCCACTTCATTTATCGTTATGCCTTTTGATATATTTTTTTTCTAAATTCTTACATGCTTCCAAGACTGAATTAATGAGTCTGCAGTTGCCAAGATTACTTTTTTTTTGCTATATATTACTTTTAATATATTATTTTCCAGTCACATAGTAGCACTCTGAAGTGAAGGATTTTTTAAAAGCACTTGATGCAAGACCTGCTAGGTATCGTGCCAGCATTTTCAAAGCTGGAATGGGGACCTTTTTGTTTCAACATATGAATGCACCTATCCTTTGGGTTCTTCTTCTGCCTCAGTAGCCATAACCTTCACTCCATGCTACTAACTCTATTCACCATCTTGCCTTTACCCCAATGGTGATCTTCACATCACTGTCTTCTCTGAAAATGTTAAGATTTTAATTTGTTTGGAGTCACACTTAATGTATTTACTTTTCCTGCCTCACCGCAAATTTTTACCAGAAATTTTACATTATTCTCTCTTCTTTTATATAAGAAAAAAAATCTGACAAAAATTCCACACAAGAAGATTACACTATTGTCAACCAAACCAAATGTAGATGGCATATTCATGAATGCCAACTGCTGTGATCAACCAATTCATTGATGCCAACTATAGATGAAGTGAGGAAATCAATCAACTTTCAACTTTTGCAGAAAAATCTTTTCACAGGTGCAAGAAGTGCTGAAAAGGCAGCATGTTGTGCTGGGTGAAGAAAAAAGAAATAGAACACCTTGCTATGCTCTAGAGAAAAAGC